TATGAATATGCACACATGCCAGCCTTGAAAGAGGTGTAAGCATAATTTTTGCTAATATAAGTAGAATAAAGGGTAATCTGAGCATCAAAAGCATAACCTATATATTGTATTAAAAAATGTTCTTTTTTTGCAACTAAACTGGATATGCAGTAAGTCAAAATATTTGGCAAATAAGATTAAAATCCACATGGATTTCAACCAAACACAAACACAAAACATAGTGGAAAATTATTTATATTCAACACTTACTTCAATTTTTCTACGTGTCTAACTATTAGATTGTGAAAGTGCACAAAATCTGCAATGGGCATGACAATGTCCTCAATCTCAAATCCTCCTTTTCTGATTTGTAAAGCAGTGTTTGTCTTTCTTTTTATTGGACATATTTTGAATGTTTAAAAAGATGCATCTGGTCCAAGAATTTTCATCCACAAGGAGACCGTAAAGGCCCATTTTTCTCCAAATCTGGCACCATTTTCTTAAAGTCCAGACTGATCCGCTAACTAACTTATCATTATATGCAAAGTTTAAAATTAAAGAAATCCATCTCTCTTCTAAGAAATGGGTCATATACAGTTGCTAAAGAGAAAATTCTAGGATGGACAAATTAACTCTTATGCTTTTCTTATACAAAGTTTTTCTTTTTAGACTATTCTTGAATTTATGGTAAAAAATGCAGAGATAATAATAAAAAATACTAAAAGAACTTTGTATTGCTTTATTTTTATTATTTAATGAAATGAAAAAGCATAATTCTTAAACTGGTAAGCTTAAGATGTAATGAGGTGAAAAAAGTATATTGATTATGCCAAAAGTGTAATGGTTGGCATATATGCATATGGTTCAAGGTATACAATTTTCATTTGGTTGAAAAGTCAGGAAAGTATGACTCGTACTCAAGTGACCAAAACTTAAGCTTTTTTTTCTGTGCTGGAACAGGTTTAAAAACTGCCAGCTGTCCTGCTGGAACTTAGACCATAATAAGACTAGATTTCTTTTCCTTCTTGTATTCAAAAACATTGTCCACCCTTAACCAATAATCTCTCATCAGGTTGAGGGCCTGTGTGAATATTTCAATTTTTCTACCTCTATATCAATTTACTGATATTTCTGTATAATTTGTCAAACTTTGTGCAGTTTTATTGATGTTATTACTGCACAGTATTTTTTGATTTATGTGCAGTTTGATTAGTGACATTGCTTTATGATACATTTTTTCAAGCCCTTAAGTTTTATCAGTAATATTACTCTGATGTAATCTGTCAAGTCTTGAGCAGTATTATTAGTGACATTATTATATGATATAAATTTTAAAGCCCAGTACAATCCATACTAATACTGTATAATTTTTCAAGCCCTGTAAAGTTTTATTGGTGATACTACTAAATGATATAATGTATCAAGCTCTGTATAATTTTTCAAGCCTTGTGCAGTTTTACTGGTGATATTACTGTATAATTTTTCAAGATTAGTACAATTTTATTGGTGATATTACAGAATGATATGACTTATAATATAATAAGCATTCTGGCTATTCTAAAAACCAAAAGAACCTGAGGCTGCCTGCTTGTCTAAACTCTAGAATGTTTGTTATGCCATACTGACTCCAAATTAACTGGTGCCATACGACCTGGGTATATGAAACTATTATCATGGCATTTACTTTATGTTCAACATGATTTTATGATAAACACAACACAAGCACCTGTTAGCTAAAGAAAAAGTGTTGTTGTTGTTGTTGGGTTTAACACCATTTTTCAGCACAGGATTGGCTATACATGGCAGCCAGTATTAATAGTGGAGGAAGAAACCATAAAAATCACTGGAAAAGACCATGACTCACAAGAAACTACTGGCAAGCTTTCTCACATATCCACACGGAATCCTAGACTTGAACCCATGCAGACAGATGTGAGATGGCAGTTATCCTTAACGGACAGCGCTTTAGACCACTCTGGGTTCCCAAAAACAAAGTGAGTGGCTTTCATAAACCATTCATTTTGGTGAGCTTACTCTTTGACATTTAAGAAAAATCATACTAAACTTCTGATTCGGAAAAATAAATCCCAATTGTCAGAACTAGATTGAAAGATGCATTACATCCAATACAAAAACAAATTCATGACGTCATAAACAATCATGAATGCTCATGAACGTTCTTGAGATGTTCATTATCAGTTCATCATTAGAGTTCATGAACACTTCAAGAATTTTGATGAATCATGTACTCAAGTTCATGAACATAATGATGAACTTATGAACTATTAGGATATCTTTAAAGTTTCAGAAATGTCATGAATTTGCTTCATGAACAATTTAAGTACTTTGATGCACCAGCAAGATATCTCTTAAAAATGTATATTAAATTTCTATATCATTATATTCATAAAATGTTTATGAAAATTCATCATACAAACTTCTCACAATATTAGTGAAATATAAATAAAAGTGAATATTTTTTTAATTATCTAATATTGTATAAATTTTCAGAGATCTTTTATTCAATACTTGTGTACTTAACTTGAGCAGTTTTAGATTAATATGGGAAAATATTTTCTGGCCAGCAGTGGATAGATTTTTATTGATTAAAACATTCAACTCCTGTGACTGATATTATACCTATGGCTAGTCAGCTTCAGTTAAAATACAATTAGTGAAAAAATTCTCCAATAATGTAAATGCTCAGTAAGTTGTGTATTAAGTATTAAATAATTCTGAGATCTGTAAATAAAGTTCTTTTTTTCAATACTTGTGTACTTAACTTGTGTACTTAACTGGCCATCATGAACAAAATGTACTTCCTATAAAAGCTTTCAATGACTTTGTTACAAAAGTTTTCGTCCAGTATTGTCATAAACTGCATATTTTATTAAATTTTTAACTGGTTGTTAAGTTGCAGTAAAAACCGAAATATGTAAATGACGATTATCCTGATGGGATGACTGTGAAAGAAGATGTTATATGATTGGGTAAATTATGCACGTGATTTCAGCGGCTGAGCACAAACGAAAGAGCATGCAAAGAGTTTTGCAACAAGTAACAAAGAGTTTTGCAACAAGTAACAATCTCGAACAAAAATCGTGGACTACCGTGGAATTGACAGATGAGAATATTTTTAATATCATTTCTTTTACGTATGTATAAGAGCAGAGAAGGAATTATGAAGAATATGAAGGAATTGACTTGAGAGCAAAATTAGGTGGAAAAGCGTACACAGTGAGATCATCAAATTACGGTGATGGTATCTTTGTTTGGGTCATTCATGATTTTTTTTCTGTGGGAATTATATGGATATGTTATTAGTTTTTATATGTCATCATATCTGTTTTAACCAAACTATGATACCTGGATTTTGTCAGACCCAATTTAAACTTTCTCTTCATATTTTTGAAAATCCCTAAACATTATCATACCCCCACCCCCTTTTTCGATCTAGATACCATACACAGTACTGCTTCAGTGATAGGAATTTATATGTTTAGTATCATTTTCTGTTTCATGACATCACTATTTATATGATCTGATGTAATTTGGTAAATTAAAACAAAAACAAAAAACTAGTTAGCGTGTCAAACTGTACATAATACATGTGCTATTAACACAATCAAATCAGAAACAGCTATAAGAAATATCCGGTGTCAGAGTAGATTTTTATTTTTTTAATAAAACATTTGACTCCTGTGACTTTTAATACCTATGGCTAGTCAGCTTAAGTTAAAATACAACTAGTGAAAAAAATTCTCCAATAATGTAAATGCGCAGTAAGTTGTGTATTAAGTGTAAGGTATTAAATAATGTTTAGTTGGATCGGTAAATAAGTTGGGTACAAAAATAATGTGCTAAAAGCTGAAAACAATGTTGATCATAGATTCTCTGTAATTAACTTTTTCTTTCTTTCAGATCAAACAGCAGAAAAAAAAAATTATTTGAGGATGAAGTTTTTAGGATAAGGAAGAAAGTTTTACAACTGGAAGATCTTACAGCCAAGATGGAATAGACATTAAAAAGTGACTGTTGCAACAATGTTAAAGATCCATACAGTAATCAGATGGAACAGCATAAGTTGCAGATGGAGACATTCGATAGTGACAATAGGTGGAATTTCATTAAATTAAAATTAGGCCCTGACTGTCTTCACAAAAAAAGAGTTATCTGACAGGTCAGTTTTGGGGGTGGGGATCATGTGGTCTTCAGGAGAAACCCCAGTAGAATTAGCTCCATGACAATGACAAATATGCTTCAGCAGTTGATTGAACACAACTGTCCCATTATCTCTTGAACAATTTTCAAAGAAAAATTACAAAACATACAGAAAGTGTTGCTAAGAATAAAATAGGAATAATTAATGTCAGTTTATATGTTCTTTATTGCATATTAGATATTTATCTGAAATTAAATACTATTTTTTAAGATAATATGTTACATTTTATACTGTTTAAAACCACCACATCTAAGGTTATTTTATGATTCAGGATGAAATAGGTATTTGTGAGTTTGTCAGATAATCAAAATTTATTGTTAGGAACTGTTCATGAAGTCATGAAAAATTAGGAACATTGTTCATTATAGTTCACGAATATGTTCATTAACTGTAATAAATGATGATGAACCAGTTAGTGAACTTTTGTAAAGTTATGGTTCATGAACATTCATGAATTCATTTAATTTCATCAACTGACCATTTTCAGTTCATGCACATTCACGAATGGTTCTTTTGATGATTTTTCAGGAATGGTTCATGAACCGTTCAAGAAAAGTTCATGCCACAAAACATGCAAAACCTGGACACATGTCAAAACCTGAATACATGATTTAATGCTAACTTATTAGAGGACTTGTAATGAATTACAATGATATATGCTCAGTGAACAAACTGTTTGTACTTAGCTCAACTTTTTTTTAACAAAAGTCATTGGGGAACTTGCTCTAATGTTTAAATTGCCAGAGGTCCTGCCTCACTGGCAGGAGTGCTGGAGACAAGTAAAGAAAAATGCTGGACTGCTTCTGTGGCTTAGTGGTTAGAGTGTCCGCCTCAGATGTGTAATATCGAGGGTTTAATCCCCAACCAAGTTATACCAAAAACATAAAAATGGTACAAACAGCAGCCTCACTTGGTACTCGGCATTAAGAGGTTAGTGTTAGGACTGGTTAGCCTGGTGTCAGGATAATGTGACTGTGTGGCACATCATGCTACATGTCTGTGGTATGATGCCCCAGTGCTAGACATCACTATAAACTGCCACACTGCAGACATCGTAGCAATATGACTGAAAAATTGTTAAAAGCTATGCTACAAATCCAAAAAATACACACACAAAGCATGTGTGTGTGTGTTTTAATCATGATGTTCCAAATTTGTACAATTTTTTTGATAACTATGAGTGCATTTTCCTTCCACTACCTGACTGATAGCAAAGTCTTTTACATCAACACCAACAAGGTTTATTATCAAAAGTTTCTTAAAAGTGCAATGCAACTTTCATTCAATCAAATTCTGGTGTGAAAATCTGCACTCACATTCCTTACTGGACACTGGAATTGCCTGTGAAATTTCCATCACACAAATCAGATTTGGGCAATGTTCTTTCATTGAAACTAGCTTTGTCAGCAATTCAGCTTCTATCATTGTTGTAAAAAAATGTACTGTGTCTGACCATTGTACAGCAATTATACAAACTGCACCTCCAGATCCCAAATTTTTAACCACTGACCACCCACCTTAAAAAAAAGTTACATTTGACCTTCAAAGTCCTTAACTACTATTCTTTAGGATTTATTTTTTCTCTCCTCACTCCCAGTGCATTCATTCATGGTTTTAATGTGATGGTGACTGCTTGATACAAACAGGAGACATTATTGTCTCTTCAAACATTTTTTAATTCAAAGTTGCAAGTTGCTGCATGGCTAGCTGGGCACACTGACATTTTGACTGCTATGTCTTGACAGGCAACACAAAAATGTTATTTGAAATCTTTTATACTAACTACTTTTTATACACTTAGATAATTTTAAACTTGTGTGGAAATCATTTTCTTCTTTTACTCCGTGACCTGTGACATTTGATTGCAAAAACAACAATGTTCTTTCCACATGCAAATCATGCATAAACTGATACTGCAACTTATGAAAAGACCATGTTTTTGTGTGGAAACTATCCTTATTCTTTCAGTGACAATAACATTTAACCTTGTCACCCCACAACCCATACCTTTTTTTATTACACCAAGGTCAAGCCATCCATGGTGGAGAACAAGTTTTTGTGCAGAACCATTTTTCTTCTTTCAGTAATAGCAAACTTAACCTTTTAGTTTCTGCCTCTGAAGTTCATAGGGTCCCAGGCAAAAAGAAGTTCCTGAGTTTGTGAACGCTTCATAAACTTCATGAACTGTTCCTGAACTGGTTGTCAAAAGTCAAATGTGTTCATGAACAGTTCATGAACATCGGTTTATGAAATTCATGTTCATGAACTTTTCCTTTGAGTTCATGAACTGTTCATGAACATCAGTTCATGAAAAAATTCAAGTACTGAACTATTCCTTTGAGTTCATGAACTATTCATGAACATCAGTTCATGAAATTCAGGTTCTTGAACTTTAAAAGTTCATGAACTATTAAATACTGAACCAAATAGGCAATCAAATTACAATTTTATAAAGTGTTTATGCATACTTGTAGTTCATCAACTGTCTTTGAAGCAATCCATTTTGTGAAGAAATTTTGGAAACAGTTTTAATATGTTTTCCAATAAAATAATTCTTACCACTTTGTGTTGGTGAGAACCATTTGCTCAATAATGTATTTGTTATACCTAATAAAATCCCATGCATGTAATCTGGTACTACACCTTTAACCAAGTCAAAGGACTGAAGAAATGCAAGATCAGACAAGCCCTTAAAGCCTTTAATCCTTTCTCTGTCTGTTGCATTTTGCATGTTTTGTAAAACTTCCTGACTATTTGGGTAATGGATACTGTGCTTCAACATTTTTATTTCACAGTAACTGGTTTTCTTGGTCACCATAATGGATTGAACTGCAACAGAAACATGAAATTACTGCACATAGTTCACATTTTTTCTTCATTAATATATTCTATTACATATTTGTTTCTATCAATTTACAAACTCCAACAATTATCTCTTTAACAGCGAATGCTTCTATATCAAACAAAATCATTAAAGAAAAGGACTGTTTACATTAACCAACCAAATAAAATAAATATACTTTGAGAACCTGCTGACTCTGGTGCACAATTTATTTCTGTATGAAAACTCAAAATATTAAACTTGCTGCTAATATGCAGTTGTCAAATATAGAGAATCAAATTTCACACAATGCATCATCCAGTGACCTATGTTGTTGGTCTTGAAAATACATATGCCCATTAAATTATAGGAGTGACCGTGCTGCACTGGTTTAGAAAAAGTTTTATTTTGAAACATATTTACTTTCCCTGATTGTGTCTGAACCATCACAGTATCCTTCCACCGGTTGATGAATTATAAATGAACATCGATGTTTGTTTACGTGAAGCTGTTCTTTTGTTTCCAGTATAGGAGACACTCTATGTGTATATGGCCTTGCAGTCAGCTATCAGATGAACCAGCCTCGTCAAAGTGTGCGAAGTTTGTAAGCAAACAATTGGTTGTTCATGTAATATTTTATTTTGTGCAAAATTTTGTTAGTTTATTTCTTTAAAATTCAGTGATGTTTGTTAATAAATATATTTCTCTGTTTCTGAACTTCATAAACAACTACTATATTGTTTAATAATAATACTTTAAAAAGAAACCAGAAACTGTTGAGCATGTGCATTGCCGATAAACCACATGTGCGAAAAAACGAAAAAATGGCAAGCAGTCGGAGCATTTTTGTTTACTGGATAAAGGAGAACAACTGGTCAATACTGAAAGAAACCTGCATCAATGAAGGTTCTTTAACTAAAGGAAGTGTGGTGCAAGCATATTATCTGAGGAAAGTCTATACGGCCATTTTAATTGCAATTTTGGGTAAGTTTGCATATTTTCATGTGCTATCAACAAAAATCTAGGTCAATCTATCTTTTCAAGCATTGCATGTACACTAGTTTTTTGCTTGTCTATGGCAAGCCTATATGAACATTGACTAACAAGATAAAAGTAGCCTACTAGTTTGATGTTATATTTCATGTTCATCTACTAGTACTAATATTCGTAACTTTAGTCCTACCTCGTGGACAAACCAAGTTGAGGCTACAACATCGTAGCTAGTTGGTTCACTTTTTAAAAAATAAAAATACAATCATAGCCATTAGATATCTGAGATTTTCATCGAAATATATAAAACCTGATAATCAAGTGAAATTGAACATGTGTATAGATCAAAACTTTGTTTTATTTTCATTAACTATTGGGTGTAAATTTTCGAATTGGAAGAGTGGTTAGCTTAAATCTAGTAGTCGTGCATTTAATAGTCTTCATACTTTCAAAGTCTAAAAAATGAAACAGTAATAACGTGTTAAGTACGTTAACGGTTAATTTTTTTATTTACACTTTAGAGAACAAGTCATCTATAGAGGGGATTGAAGCACAATTTTAAAAATTCCTCCTTGGAGTCGATCCACATGTTGATGAGGAAGAAGAGAGGATAAAGAAAATCAAGAATGAAGTCCTGAGGAGAAGTTAACTAGTTCTCTTTTTTTTTTTTTGATTTGGTCATCCAAATTGTGCCCAATCACATTGTCAACTGATAGTACATTTCTATGTGCCTTTCTGAATAAATTTGACATTTGTCAATAATTAATGTACTTCAATTTTAAAAAGGAATGGAATGGCATAATTGTATTTTGATATTTGTTAGTTTCTAGAAAACTAATCTGCAATGCAAAATTTAACCTAAAATTGTATACACCCTTTTTGCACAAGGACTGTTTCTAAAAATGTTAGTAGTCAAAGGGAAAGTTATCTTGATAGGAAACATTTTAATCATAAGCTTTCCTGAGTATCTTTTTATAATCAATCTTCAATCGGAGCTTGTAATTTCAGAAAGAGGTAATCTTGAATATCATAATATTTACTACCATAAATTGTAAAGAACAGAGTTCATGAGCAATAACATTAGTTCATGAACTACAGATTCATTTAGTCATTAGTCATTTTCTGTTCAAGAACTGGCAACCATTTTCTGTTCATGAATAGTTCATTAACTCTAGATTCATGAAATGGCCATTTTCTGTTCAGGTGGTTCATGAACTAGCTCAAGAACAATTCATGAACTAGTTCAAGAACAATTCATGAACTAGTTCAAGAACAATTCATGAACAGTTCTTATATTTGTTCATGAATAGTTCATGAAGTGGCCATTTTCTGTTCATGAACTAGTTCAAGAACAATTCATGAATAGTTCATTAATTGAAAGTTTATTAAGTGGCCATTTTCTGTTCATGAACTAGTTCAAGAACAATTCATGAACACTTCTTGATTTTTTCACAGGGGGTTCATCCTTACCTACAAATGTTTGGTAACTGCAAATAGTAGAAAACTTAAGTTGTGTATAGAAAGAACTTGAAAAAGACTGATGGACAACACTGTAAATAACAGGCTCTACCTGCTCCTCAATATTGAGGAGGAACTAGAGCAGTTACAAAACAGACACAAGAGACAGTTAAACACACATATCACACAGATGCACAAAGTGAATCCTTTACAATGCCCATCTCTCAATACAGATACATGTATAGCAAATATAAAGCAGCCATAGATTTCAAGACATTATGTAAGTAACAAATTTTAATTTGTACAGTGATTACTCTAGGTTCTATCTGGCAAATGAAACCACCAATGAAGCAAAGAGCTGGGCATATATTACTGGAGTCAACTCCCACTGGTACATCAAGTGTATCATGGTCTGTGTCTAACCTTTCATTTAACTGATTACTGCTCTAACTCATTGAGCATGATCTTTCTGCCAGACATCTTGCACTTTTACCTGTTCTTTTCCCATTAAAAAAATAACCGGATTCAGGAAAGAAATTCAACTAAAACCAGAAGAAATCTGCATTAAGCATCTTTTATACATCATCTACTTGACATCAAAA